CTCACTACAACATTATATATTCAATGGTGTGCTTCCAGCTGTAGCTGCTCAGCTGCTAAGCATTATTCATCTTTGCATAAATCATTATCATCATGTAATTCAGTTATTTTCAGAGGTCGGGTGGGTGGACATCATGTGGGTTGACTTCATCAGAACAGATGAAACTGAAGAGAGATGAGAAACAAAGGGCAAAGCGAGAGAAAGAGGAGGAGAAATCTCAGGGCCGAAGTTGAGCTTATATAAGTGCTTCACCGAGGCGGGGTAAAATGTGCTGCAGTGGCCAAGTTGAATCAGATAGTTATATATAAAGTGCGTCATCATAACTCATTTATCACCTCACTTTGTGAGATGAAACCCTATGTGGCAAAGAAACTCTACACTTTCAAGTTGAAAGAAAATTATACAATAGATTTGGTTTTTATTGGACAAATGAACTAAATAGAGTGATCGATAGTCTGTAGAGCATGTTTCAGTTAGAGCTGGATCATATGCAGGCGCGCTGGAAGCTGTTTCAAGCGAGGGGGGCTGATGGCTGGGTTGGAAAACACGTGACGTCATTATGTTGAGGGCTGTGGCTGACGTTTTTAACATAATATTGTAGGCCTACATTTGTCGCCAAAAACTGCCATTTAAAATGCATCAGAACAAAGCATGAACATTTTAAACTTTATTTCTTCTCTTTTAATCATTCAAAACAAACAACAGCTCCCAATCAACAGGATCAGGAATACTTGAATAAAACATGGCCTAAATATAGCCTAAACTGAGCATTGAACGTCTTGAAAGTCCATTCGACTATGGATATGGGGAATGATTTCATATCTGAAACAAAAAACACACACACAAAAAAAATAACTACATGTAATTTCATATTTTGTCACTAAATAGCTTAATACAGACATAATATTTAGTGATATGCAGCCTTATTCTAGCGTAGACTTCTTCAGCCACAGGACTAAGAGGAATAGGCACAGCATATAGAAATAAATAACAAAATTAATAACGCTAAATAAATGCTCGGCGGCAGTATAGGGGAATTAAAACCATTTCTTACCTCGAAATAGTCAGAAATACGTTTCTGCTGCCTATTGCTAGCCATGCCTAAACGAATGTGAGGTGGCGGAAGCAATTCCTGGGGAGTAGCCTAGTTTTTTATGAAAGATTAAAATAATGAATCATTAGTTTATATCTTATACACAGCCCATCATTTTAATCCCATATCAAACACAGTCTTTAAAAAAATAAATACATAAATAATTTCATGTTTTTAAGTACAATATTATGTTACTCCACAGTCCCCCACCATGGGGGGCTGATGCTATGACGAGGGAGGCTGCAGCCCCCGCAGCACCCCCCTTCCCGTGCCACTGATCATATGGGTCCAGAAAGTAAAAAGCCTGTACAGAGATCAGTTCCAACCATTTGCATTTTCAGCTGCACAGCACAAACCAAACATCACAGTACAGCACAAACCAATCATCTGGTTAAGTGAACAGGATGAAAAAAACAAGGCAGGGTTTTAATTTCTGGACCTGGATTATCCACCTCTGGTTTCAGTTGTGCTTCTTTTGTAAATATTGAAATGTCTGCCTATTTCTCATTTTTTCTTTTTTCTATTTGTAAAATAGCTTAAGCTCAGTCAGATTGGGTTTACAGCACATCTGAAACATAATTTTTAGTGTTGTCACAATGTAAACCTGAATAATTTACCAGAGTCAATTCATTTTAAAGGCAAACTATAACTTTTCTTAGGATGAAATCAATATCTTACACCCTTTCAGGATTTACATTTCTTATTAAGTTCTACTTTACCGTTTAGAATCCACCACAATGAACATATTTCATTAAGCCATCTTAAAATATTAACTACTTCTTAAAGTTTTTGCTATATACCTAAAATATTTTGGGCTGGGATAAGTCTTATGCCATATATAATTTAAATTGAACTACACATATTGATCTGGGAAGCCTCATGTAAATAGTGTTCGCAAAAGGGCGGGACAAACAATACACTTCTGATTGGGCACTTGCCTCCCATTTGGTAACTATTCCTTGATCTAAGTTGTCTACTGAAAGTTGAATCTCAAGTATTTTTGCAGTTTCTAACTGGTTTTCTCAGGGACTGCCCTCTGGCCATATTAAGCTCCATCTATCGTTCCAACAACTCTCAACAGCTCCCATGTACTTGCTTGCAAAAAAGCATTCCTGAACCCCATTCTGTCACACTGTTGGATAAAAAGGATAGAGTACTCAGGGAAATACTAATTTGTTAGTTTTCTGCCAGACATAATGCTTTGCATGTTGGCTTCGTAGGGTTGGGATGTCGAGTTAATTCTTAGGGGATTAAACCCTGAATGTTTCAGAAGTCCTCATGTTTCAAAGTGATTCAAACAGCTTAATTAGCTCCTTAGATTGTAAACATAACCCACGACATGCAACCTACTCTTTTGATTTAATTATACTGTACCGTAACTTACCATACTGTGCCAATTCTGTAGCACTGTTAAAACAACTTAAAAGCTTACACTGTCTCTCTTCTGGATTTATAATGAGACTTTGGGATAGGTAGAATCAGCTGGTTTTCTGATCTCAGGTGTTTTCAAACAGGGAAACATCAACCATGCAGATCACTGGCATTTGTGGACCAACTGTGGCTAAAATCTTTTCTTTCTTTCACGTCAATTTCTTCAAAAAGGATGCATTATAAGATGCAGACGTAATACCTCTACTGGCTATAGATTTTTTTTCACCTAAGCTGTGGATCTTTGCAGCTTCAACAAAGTTACAGTGGAGGAAAATTATACCTTCATCTAATTTTCTTATCAGGTGACTCCCAGTGCTGTGGTTGCACTAAATTATATTTAGGAGTATTTGAGAGGGTAGAATACAAATGCATGACAAATTTGTAAATTTATAAATCAAACAAATCTGTAGCCTTGCATGTTGCCCCTATAATTCTTAATTTGGCTCTTAACTATGCAGAGAGTTTTATCACTTATCTGTTTTCAATGTGAAAAACTGTAAAATGATAAAATATGTGTGTATCTTTGAAGGTTAATATAAATTATGTATATATTATGTTTTCTACAAATATTTTTCTGTCAAGACTTTTGCTTTCTTATTTTTCCTTGAAAATACCAAGTTTGATTTGATGTATTTCTGTCTCATATAAATGCACAGTGTTGCATTATAAAATACTATAATCCATTAACATGTGTTAGACAAGTGAGTGAGTCAGAATTATGAAATAGCAACACATTAAACATACCGGCATTGCCAATCTAAAAAATAAAAAAATAAAAAGGTGTTCTGCAGTTTTCTATACAAGAAAACTTGGAATATCTGCCTGAGGGGACTTACCACCATGTAAAGCTACCATGCAGACCCTTAGCTGTTAGCCATCTGTCTTCAAACTGATCAAGATTTATTTATATATCTCCAGCAGAAGATGTTTCTTTATTTTCATTGCTTACTTATTTCCCTTGAGATTCAGAGTCAGATCAGATAATTGTCTTGATACCCTGGGGGGAATCAGAAGGTCCACATCTACTCTTCCTTACAGAGCGATTCCATTGTTAAAATATACCTTGTTCTTACAAAGAGCAATTAATTGGAAATCATCTCTAATTGGAGATATTTGTTGAATAAACTTAAAAAGTAGCTGTGCTTGTACTTGAATAAATTCCAATCAGTATTGCAGAAAAGGATAACCCAGTAGCTCTAAGCTGGTGTCATTGGAAATAAGATCATTTTGGTAAATGTCTATGTTATTCAGGAAAAAAAATGGTATGATTGTATGGTTAAACACATTTCTTTGTCGGCAGGGAGACAAGGGTTGTTTTTTCCCCCCAAAATGTTTCATGCCTGTACATGCCTTTTTGAATTGGAGTTGCCAGAGAGGGAGGGTAGTTCTCCTAGAAACTGACTGTTCAGATAAGCACAGCAGCTTTTAAATTGATGTCTGATTTTCTGTTCTCTTTGCTGGTTTTTATCTGGGCTGTGTCTTATTTAGAGAACTTCAACTATATTTCATTTTCTCAGAAGCCATAGATTTATGTGAAAAACACATCTGTATTTTTTATTTTTGCATTTATGTTTTGCATTTTCCACATCATTAGACAATTATCCAGTAATCCGTCACATATGCAGGCTAGGCGTGACGATGCAATCAGCTGGTTTTCCTTAGATAAAAAACTTTGAACCAATCTGCCTGTATGATCTAGTTGAATTGTCTCTGCAAAGTGCCTTGAGATGACATGTGTTGTGAATTGGCGTTACGTAAATAAACAGATTTAAATGAAATTATTAATGGTAGCCACTGATAATGTGAGAAATATTAACTTCAATCCTCATAAGATGGTTTTGCTGTGATCCCCTTGGCAACATGATTAGCATTAATTTTGTGGTCACTTAAAATTAGTCTACATCACTATAGGAGAATTTCTGTCAATGTTTATTGCAGAATTGTTTTAGTTTAGCCAGCAGGTTATGTTTGGATATGTATATTTGAATAGACTTTGACTGGGCCAAAAAAACAACAACTTTTTTTTTTTAACCTTGAGCCCTTCAGAGGTGGAGCTGCTAGTTTGCTTTCAGTTATGACACCAATGTGTTTGAGCTTAAAGCGCAGAAATTATTTTCAACATTCTGCTTCAGAATTATTATCCTGGGAGCAGAATTTGTGTTCCCATCTCGTATGTCAAGTCATCCATATCCTGCTGAAGAACAGCGACCCAAGATCATCACAATACCACTACCATGTTTAAACTTTTTGTTTTGTTCATATCCTTTAATGCAGTGCTAACTTTACTCTATGAATGATTGGATTATTTTGAATAAATCCAGAGGTTTTTTTTCCTATGGGTGAAAAAAATTGGTTTACATCACATATCTCTAGGATATTTTTCTATTAGTTTTAGCAGTAACTGTATTTATCATCTGTTCTCCTCTGTGTCCATTTTACTGATGTTTAAGTTCCTCTTTGTCTGCTTTTTTTTTAGGGCAAAGTGTTCCCAACATTTTAACGTGTGGATCATGTTATTGATGGAAGGGCAGAACCCATTAATGAGGGGGAGAAGGTGATCCTGCTCCTGTCGAACAGGTGGATATATTATATGTAGAATCTTTGCTTTTAGATAAATGAAACATAGAGATTTTCCAGCTAGAAATCAGAAATAAGACATTGTTTGTTAGTCTCCCTCTCCTCACAGCTGAGGGACTGATAGCTTGTGTTTGGAAATGTGTAATTCACAGAGGACAAACTGATCTGACAGCAGCTGGCATTGCAACTGTTTCTTCCTAAATAGTATTACGCACTAAACTTAAAGGGACACTGAATGTACCTAAAAATGTACCCGAAAACCTGCTTTGTTTTGTTTACGTTTACAAATAGGCCAAATTTAGGAAGGATTACAGAACCGTGTAGAAAATATGCTGAAAAATTATTCTTTTAGATGTCTGTGTATCATTAGTCCGAACACTTTTATGTTTAAATAAGAAAATGTAGATTTTGCATTCAAAACAATGTAAAATAAGCTTTAGCCATAAACAATCTGAAGGTAAAACATTTTCAGTTATTAGGCTCTGTACACTCTTTCGGTTTTATCGGTTTTTGATATTGTGTGCAGCTTTCCTGTGCGTGATGTAGTAACCAAATTAACTGTTAGGATCCGATGACACATGTCCAAAAAAAAATGTTATCGGATTTCCAACTCATCTCTGGACGAAGATTATTTGAATTACAGTTAAATTATGCAAATAAACTGCTAAAAGGCTTTAGGTTCATAGGGTTCTCACTTGGTCAAGAGTTTTCACTTCCTTCTGTGACAAGCTTTATAGACTCTTGCATCTTTTTTGTGATGGACAAATATAAAGGGTTTGCAGGATAAGTAGTACCTTATGATAAATGGAGAAGCCACATTGTGACTCAATATAAAATTTTTGCTCATAGGGACATATATTGCTGTGAATAAAATAAAAGATATATAAAAGAGTATAAACAGACATTTAAAACATTTGTTTAAATGTCTTACTTCTAATCAGCTTTGCTCAGCTGTTAAACATTAATAGGATCTGACACAGTAGCTTCTGCAGCAATGTCAGTAAATGAGTTTGAAGAGAAAAAAAAGTGAAATAGAGCAAAAACAGAGACAGCTCGTGTTTTCCTTTTTCTCTCAGTAAACACGTTTAAGATTATCGCAGTTACATTTCCTTTACATGACCGAGATCTAAGAGATATATTTTAAGCTTTTGAGCGGATTACTTATTTATTTATGAGGCGCATAGATGTGTTTATTCCATCATAAAAAAATCACTGACAGTGAAGGAGACAAAAAAGGGGCTTCAAAGCTATATACACATAAAAGAGAGTATAAAACGATGCCTAAGATAAGAGATATAAAGACTTACTACTGTCAATTTAACCCTTACTTGTAACTGTTTTTTAAAGTGAAACCTTAAATAGCCTGGTTACAATTTTTTGCAACTTAGATATAAACACTACTTTGCAGCAAAAAAGGCAAAATCAAGAGGTTATAAGTGGTCTGCAAGGTCTTTAGGCTCAGTAAAACTGTTTAATAGAATCAAGGCAGTAATCTAATGTTATTAGCTGTGCGGTATATGTTACCTACTGTATGTTAAGTTAAACAAAACTTAATAAGTTAAAGGTATAGTGGAGGATGTTTTTTTCCGGGTGGATCATCAAAATAAGTGGCCCTACTAAATGTCAATCAGTCTGGTGATAGGTTTACGTAAGGCCGTCCTACGTGCTTGTCTCTATTTTTACTGACAGATGGTGAGTCTGACATAGTGGAAAAATTGCAAATCTTCTTTGGAAAGTAAGCTTGTATGAGCGATGCAAACAGCAACTCTTAAACGGAGCGTGCACAAGGAGAAATGGGCTCGTGCATGCTCTCGAACGCGTTTAATAGGTGTTCCCTCTCAGGACAGGCACAGGGTTGTTCATGTGCATTTTTAATTATTTTTTTTTTTAAGTCTATAGGGCGGGTCTTTTAAAAAAATTGTGAATATCTTCCGCTCTACCATTAAAAAAAAAAAAAAAAAAAGCTAAGTAAAAAAAAAAAAAGGACATTTTAAGAGTTAATAAGCATTAATGTTCTATAACACAAAATTGTATTTCTTTCTTTCTGTAATTTCTTACAGAAGCATAATTGGATAATTTTACCATATTAAGGCATTGACTGTTTTTGTAATTACACCTACCTTGTTTTTTCAAAAGTTATAAGGTCTTGTTCTGACCTCTAATGACACTCTTGACAAAAAAAATACTAATAATTTCAAAGTTTTTTCACTTAGTGGCCTAGAAAGGGTTAAGAATTAGGGAATCAAAGTAATGCTGCAGTAGCCTGTTAAAGAGCTTTCATGCCACAAAAAGAAAAGCTTGATTCCAAGTGAACAGTTCTGGACAAGAAAGAAAAAAAACATGTTTTTGAATTGAGAGGATGAGAACTTAATGTTTACTGCTTGCTATCTGTTGAATATAATTTGTATTACATTCATAAAACTGTTTTAGAAATGGCTATACTTAATATAATACAGGAAGTTTATTATTTGTTTGTTAGAATAAATTACTAACAAGGCAACAGAATTCTTAATGATTTGTAAACATTTAAATGAAGGTTTGACTTGTCCAAAGTCAAAGCATTACAGTTATTCAAATGCATAGAAACAATAGAAGCTATCCAAGCAGGTATGACTTTAGCATTGATCTTTAAATAAAATAAAGAAGATCATGATCATGTTGTTTTACTTATGAAGTATTTGAATCAAAAACATCAGAATCAAAACAATCCAGGGGTTAAAGAATTTTATACATTATAGTATGCATTCAAATATGTTTTCTTCTCTGGTTTCTGCTTTCTCAACAGTTAAATAATGGGAAATGTGGAGAGTCAGAATGGGGAAAGTGGTGTGTATGGCAACGGAGCGGTGCATCTTTCACGCAAACACACATCCCGCTCACTCCGCCTTACCAACAAGAAGACCGTCACTCGCCGAGTGAGGCACTCTTCCACTGTCAAACAGGAACACAGAAACTCTGAGACCTCCACTCGCTCCTCCAGCACACCAAGCATCCCACAGTCCCTAGCAGAGAGTGGATTGGAACTGTTCAATGGCACAGATGAACTGGGAGAGTTGGGGATCAACCCTCATTGGACGCAACGTGTCTCTATGACTATTAGGACAGACTCCTATCAGCATGAGGATGAACCCTTAGCCACGCCAACCCCTGAGACCTCAGAGGCAGACACGATTGCTCAGGATGGAGAAGAGGATTCGATAGGTGAAGGAGATGCACTTGGGGATGAAAGATGCCTCCAGAGGATGACAGAAGGCTCCAGAGAAGGAGGCGCTTTTAAAAAGAAACGTTCAAAGTCAGCAGACATGTGGAGGGATTACAGCCTGGAGTGCTCTATGTCTGACTTGAGCCAGGAAAACCTCACCAGCACTGAGGATATAATCGACGGAGGAGAGGAAGAGGAGGAGGAGCACTTCCCATGTCCCAGAGGTAGTGCAGGCATGTGATGCCGCTTTAAAGTCCATTCTTCTTAAAAACTCTTACAAAATATTGTTTTTCCATTCTTAACCTCAATGCTCTTTTCTGCTGCTAACATGTTGATAGACATATATACATATATTAGCAGTATTAACAATAAAAGTATCTATATTTCCTGAAAGGCATCTGCAGGAGGTATTGATTTAGTTCACAATGCAGGCAATGAGAAGGGAAAAGGGTGAGAAAATCACAGGCACTGACTGAGTGAGAAAATGATTTGAGAAACTGTGCTGATTGAAGATCTGTTACTGTCCATCATGTAGCACTTCAGGTAATCACAGGTTTGCTAGTTTAACTGAAGCTTTAACATCAGGCAAGGGCTGTTAACTTAACTGATGAAGGAATAAAAAGGCTCCAATAAGTGATCAGAGGACTCAGCATAATATAAAGGCTTTCTGCATTCACACATACAGACGTTGGCAATCAGAGTGGACATTGGGATTCACAAGACACACAATAGCAATAAAGAAGTCAAAGATGAAAAGAAACAAAACTGCAATTCCTCACAAAATAATTTGCAGCCTGCTTTTCCTTTATTCTGATAAGAATGCCAGAGAGAAAAAGGTTAAACTCTGTAACTGAAAGATGAATTGGAGTTTTTGAAGATTTACAAGTTTGTTGCAGAGCATTAGTAACAATTGCAAATAAATGACTGAAATAATGTTACTTATTTCCTTCATTCGATTCAAATATCTAATCTAGTTGTTATTTGCAAACAGCACGTTTCTCTGCTTTGAGTGTCAACCACAAACAGAGTTAGGGAACCCATGAGAAAAAAGCTACCGGTACTTGTATGAGCGATGCAAAAAGCAGCTTTTACACAGAGCATGCACGAAGACAAATGGGCTCGTGCACGCACTCGCACTCATTTAATAGTCGTTCCCTCTCGGGAATGGGTACATGGTTGTGCATGTACGTTTTTGTTTTTTTTTCAAGTGGAGAGTCTTTTCAAAAAATAGTGAAAATCCTCCACTATACCTTAAAGTTATTATAAAATTCTGGTGTTACTCATATAACATTGTAAAAGCAGTGCAGGGGTTATCATGGGAATCGTTTCAATTGGTAGTATTACAGATCAATTTGCTTCTTATTCTCTAAATTAATTGGAGATTTTCTGTTAATATTTAGACTAGAACTGATTTTCAAATGATTTTGAGGTTAATCATTATTGTAAGTTTTTCAATGGATAAAAACACCTTTTTAAACTAATTCTAATGAAATTACAGAATTAATTAAAGGACTTGTATTAGACACTGGATTTAAAGTATTTGACTCAACCTGATATTTAAAGGTTTATTCTCTGGATTTTAGAGTTAAGACCTTCTTATCCCACCTCTGGTGTCCTCTTCCTTCTACTGTACCTTTAAAATAAGCACAAATTTTGTTGTTGCTCTGAAAATTTATTTTTTTGAAGTTTGCAATGGAAAAAAAAGAAAGAAAGCAAGAAATGTTTAAAAGCCCTCATAACTTGTGCAAGGTTTTGCAGCTGCCAGCAATGTCAATGCTCTAAAAAACATTAACCTTGAAATAAATGCTTGTTTATTTCATAGGCTCCACTGAAAGAGCTTCCTCCCTGGACCATTTGTGCAGCCAACAGCGTGCAGGCCTCCGAGGTCAGAGGAATCGCTACGCTAAAAACCACAGAGAAGCCAACTGTAACGAAGATGCAGAAGGAGACGATGCTTTAATGTCTCCAAATGAGGAGGACAGCAGTGGCTATGTAGCATTCACCCTCCCCTGTCGACGATCTCACTGTCTTTCTGAGGGGCTGTCGGCTCTGGGCATCCCTTCTGCACCCTGCCCTGCCTTCCAGGGACGGCGTGCACACACTACTCAGGTTAGATCCTGTTTCTCAGGTCTCCTTTTTTAAATCCCCTTTCTCTCTTCAGAAGTGACTGAGAAGGACATTGTGGATTAACGTTTTTACGCTTACCAGTCTGAAGACAGCCAGGGGTGTCCTGCATTTTACTGTCAACATTTTCTTTAATCTTTTTTGTCTTTTTTTTCCACTGCTTTTGTACATTTATTTCACAAATACTCACCTATAACACGATCGTATCATTTCATTGCAGCTGAACAAATTAAGGATTCATAGATATCATAATACCTGCCTTTGGTTTAAAAATAAACCAACAGGGCAACACTGAGTGAAGCATGCACTGTATTCAGCTGATTCTCATAACTCACATGCACCTTTGGAAAGCAGATAATCTGAAGAGCTTATTATAAGTTGCCTGACTAGAAAGAGGGAGTTTTAAGATATAAATAGATCATCACAAACAGGTTATCTTTAGTAAGAAATAAGAGAGCCTTTTTTGTAATTTTAAAATGTACGCGGCTTCATTTTGAAAAAAAAATCTATACTATTTAAACGTCTACTGTATGAAGATTTCCTGCACATTAAACTTTTCAGGGATTTAATTTCAGCAACTGTCCTGCACTGCTTACTGTATATTCACAAAAATATATCATCCAAGCGTATTCATTTAAGAAATCAAATAGTTATTCTTACAGTATCAAATTGGTTATTTAGGTCACTATGAGTGTAGTTTAATTCACTGGATTATATTTTGATGGTTCAAATAGACATGCATGAATGATGGGTTTGCCTTGTGCTTTTTGTTGGGCAGGACATCTCGGGCGTCTTGGGGGAAGGAAGCGAGTATGGCGACAGTGGCATTGATGGCGTTGCTACAGAGACGGACGCAGACGGCGAGCTTATCTCGCGGCGGTGTAAAGCCATGTCGGCCTCCTTCTCACTCTACTCAGCCACAGAGAGCAGCGTCTGTAATGGGAGTGACAGCGGGAGCAGCAGCGCGGGTGGAGGAGAAGGAAGAGGCTCTGAGGGATGCAGAGGAGGAGGAGTGTATGAGAATTTCCGGAAGGAGTTAGACAGCCAAGTCTGGGTTAGTTGATGCGTTTTTCCTCATAATTTGCATTTTAATTTCTTTTTCTAATGTATACTTGCTTCATTTCTAAAATGTTTCACTTTGAATCATTCATCAGACTAATCAGGGCACAGATTGCCCTGAGGAGGCCTGCTCTGCTGTAAGTGATGAGCAGAGCAGCGGCACGCTCAGCAGCGCCTTTCCACCTGACGCTGGGATTGGCTGCACACAAGGCACAGTCAGGAAAGCTGGAACCTTAACTGTGAAGAACTTCCTGGTTCATAAGAAAAACAAGAAGGTGGAACTTGCGACAAAGCGCAAATGGAAACAGTACTGGGTGTCTTTAAAAGGTACTGGACATGTTGGAAGGTTTTTAGCCTACCGGTATATATATTTTGTTTTGTTAAATAAAATGAAAGATCTCCAGGTTGCAATTCAAAAACCATTTGTGCCCACATGGTTTGCAAAATGATTTTACATAACGCTCCATATCAGCCCTTATGAATATTCAGCTCATACTTTACTGCATAAGATGATTTAGAGGAAAACATTTGCTTCTGCACATGAGCGATTTTTAAAATTTTATTTGTATGCCTTCATACCATCTGTATCTGAACCATATCAGATTGACTGGTTAACCATTTTCTTGTTCAGGCAGTGCAAGATAAGATTCTGCAACAGATTTCCTCAAGGTGAAAATAAATGATGTATCCAACCATACCGAATCATATTATATCATCTTCCACTATGGCTTCTGATGTATGGCATCACATATCGTATATTATTCTGTTCAGGACAGAACCTGACTAGCCTATATTACAAAATATCACATTCAGTTGTCTCATTCCTAAGTCAAATTAATCTGCTTATAAATAAATCCACAGGTTTTGATTTTACTTTTTTTAAACCTTCTTATTTGTCTGAGAGTTCAAATTTATGTTCAGACCATACTTGTGCTAAGATAGGCATTTTGTAGTTAACCTTATCTGGAAACAACACTGAACAAATTTCCATTGCTAGTCCTGTTGTTGTAAATCACACAAGTGTGTTTTGCTCTTAATAACCTTGTTTTTTTTTTACATATGGGGAAAAAAAAGAACATTATTTCATGAAGAAAACCTTACTGCTATAGCGTCATACTCAGAAAAGCATCTTAACATGACCCTGATTTGTTTAATCTTCTACACTCCCTCCCCTGTTAGAATGTAATCACATCAGACTAAACTCAGCCGATGCCCTTGTTTGTCACCCTTACTGTTTTCTCACTCAGTGCTTTCTGTGGTGATGCATTAGCTCTGCTCAGCCTCGTCACAATTTAATTTCATGGCAGGATCTGTGTCTAATCTAATCTGGTCCTTTTAAAATTCATAAGAAACAGAATCCAAAGCTGCATTTCTCTTAGCATTTTCTGTTTATTTCAATTTTCTAAAATAAGCAAGAGTGGCTAATCTTCCTGACCTCGAGTTAAAAGTTCATACCAATAAGTAAACACTGCTTTGGCTAAATGGAATAAATGTTGTATGTGGGCTTATCACAGTGTCTCCATTTCCTTTCCTCCTTCTTTTTTCTTGTTCTTTAAGGCTGCACCCTCTTCCTGTATGAATCTGATGGTCGCTCTGTAATTGACCATAACAGCGTTTCAAAACATGCCTTGTGGGTGGAGAACAGCATCGTACAGGCCGTGCCTGAACACCCCAAGAAAGACTATGTCTTCTGCCTCAGCAACTCGATGGGAGACGCATTTCTATTCCAGGTGGGAAAATTCCAGGAAAAAACTAATAAAAGTTTCAATTGACTTTTTTGTTCTAAGGGACAATCAATTTAATTGTAATTGCACTGAGAAAACACATAAAAAGGAGAAGTAGCAAAGATGGATGACCATAAAATATAAGATTTCCTCTGAGGATTTGTGTGTGTCTGACACATAAATGCTTGACCTTTAGCCATGTATGCGGATAACGACAGTCTCGTGTCTGTGTTTGTTTTATGTCTGACATGTTTAAAGGCCACACTGTCAAACTCTGACAGCTATCCACAGCAGTGACTATTGCATATATTGAAACACATTCATTTATATTCATGAAATCTCCCCATAAGTGCCCCATCTCTCTACTATAAGCCAATGAGAAAGGATTATTGAAATGATTAGAAGATCAAATTGACATCCTTATGTGTAAAGTAATATTGTAACCTACATTATATAGCTGTCAGTGGCTTGCTTTGTTAAAGAACAGAATTGTTTGTAAAACATTTTCTTTTTGGTTTTGTTTGGACATGTGATTTATGATGCAAAACTATAATAACTATAATCAGAGACAGGTTGTCAGAAAAGAAAAAAAAACTAAAAAAAGAAGAGGAGAATGTGGAGAATGCATTAAAAAGTTGCCAAAAAGTGATAAGGTTACGTTTGGAACAACAAACTACTTTTATCTCTCCCTAGACGTCGGGCCAAACCGAGCTGGAGAACTGGATCACGGCAATCCATTCTGCGTGTGCTGCGGCTCTCGCTCGGCAGCACCACAGGGAGGACACCGTTAGGTTGCTCTGGACTGAGATCCGCAAACTGGAGCAGAAGATTGACATGGACGAGAAAATGAAGAAGATGGGAGATATGCAGCTATCCAATGTCACTGATCCAAAGAAGAGGAAGACCATTCTGGAGCAGGTATAAAACCTCTATAACAACAATCTGATTGATAAACAGGACATTAGAAAAAAAAAAATAAAAAATTAGAACTTACTGTAACATCTAGATCACAGCAGTATATAAACTTTGGTTGTGATCTCTTATTTTAATGCGTTAAAGCAGCTCCTTTTAGTTTTGAGTTATCTCACTCAGTAGGGCTCTAAATCAGCTTATCTGTAGAGCATCACTCAGACAAATATGCTTCCGGGGGCATATTTAACCACAAATATTTTAAAATGATCACAGCTATTCAAATTCATTGCTAAAATTGCTGTAACATGCTGAAACACATGCAAAGCCCACATGAATGATTTTGTTTGACAGCTGTTTGAATTGTTTTTTTTTAACTTCTTTTATGTGAGAACTATTATTTTGTTTACCTCCATGCTGATCTTGAGAAAACCTAAATGTCAAATTGCATGAAAAGTCTTTTAGATGTTTAAGTTGCTTAAAAAAATGAAGTTAATAGATGTATTTGATTTTCCTCAATAAAGCTGTTTGTTCATCTCCAGTCAGTGTCCTCCGTTACAACTGATTTGTCTGAAGAGAACTATGCGGAAGTTGTTTAATTCAGAAACTGGTTTCATGTATCTACATATATTGAATTAAAAGGTAGAAAGTGTTCCCTATAAAGCTGAAGAAACAGATGATGGCATAAACTAATGCAAATAAGGCCTAGTTTGTGTTGTGTTCATGTTCCACCTCCCACGGCCCACTCTGTGGTTCTCAGCACATAACACAGCAGGTCGGCGACTGGTGGGGGCCGTGTTGGTGAGTAATACCTCGCTGTAGGGGCTTCAGTACTCCCACATTTCTCTGCTCCCACAATGACCAAGCAACTGTGTTACACCAGGCAAACCTTTAGGCATGCTTTAGGCTTTCTGCTCTTGGTTAGTGTTTAAATCTGAAAAAGTTTTGCATATTGGGGAATCTGACTTACAATGGATAATTACATATCAAAGATTATGTTCAATTATTAACTCTAACTTGTTCTCATTGTTAGATTTTCTTGTGGGAGCAGAACCTGGAGCGGTTCCACATAGATCTTTTCCGCTGTCGCTGCTACCTGGCCAGTCTGCAAGGCGGCGAACCTCCAAATCCCAAACGCCTCCTGGGCTTTGCTTCACGCCCCACCAAAATGGCCATGGGTCGCCTCGGCATCTTCTCTGTGTCTTCCTTCCATGCACTGGTAGGACTAAAAATGATCATGTACATTCATGCACACAGACTCATATTACATGCATTCATTCCTCCTCACACGAGTATTTTCCTCCTAGCTGTTCAGTAATTTCCTTCTTAGGGTGAATCGGTGCCTCTAAACATGTTGCACATGCCTCTACTTGTTCCAGTAGGTCGTTCATTTGAGACTGGAAACTGTCGACCCTCAATAACAGCCCAGCTTGGGGAGAGTGGGTGTTTTTTTGTGGATGTGAATATCTTGTGACAAACGCCTACCTGAAACAATAATTTCCGATTCCCTTATAAGGCACTGATGAAGATGCAATAACTAAAAAAAGTGATACAACCTTTATTATGAAAGAAAGTAAAGCAACTGATGTCTCTACAGCTTTTTATTTAGTCTATTATACGTTTTTTTATTATTATGTCATACAAGCAATTTTAACTTTTAAATGTATTTTTTTATTTGTCACCTTAATTTTATCATAGAAACCCTTGAGAAACCATTTAGACCCATTTATATCATTTTGAAAATAATTGAAAGCTAATTTATCATAGCTTTCAATTTTTGCAATTTTGTCATCCTCTTTTTCAGATAAAATTGCAATAAAATCAAGTAGTTAATCAGCTTATTTTTGCAAGCACTTCAACCTTTTCACATAGATTTGCACTTGTTTTATATTTTACTGTGTGCACTGACATACACTTCCTTCTCACCCCAAACGTCAAAATATTCACATCAAAAACTTAACACATCAAAAGCTTTGGCTGGGAAATCAAACCAAGCATTAAAGGTATTTATTTGTCCCTTTGTGCTCTGGACGCATTTAACTTGTGACACAAAACGAAGGCATTTCAGTGCCATGGTCGCTATTTGAAGTGTTTCAAGAATTTAAAGAATGAAAAACCCTCTCAGAAAGAGGGACCTAGAGAATCAACAATACAAGTGAAACAGAAAGAACAGAGTTAAGATTTATCATCCTGTCTTAGTGTGATATATTTGTACTTTTAGTTTAGAAAAGTCTATGGTAATCCAAAACTTTGTTTGCTAAAATCACTGACAACTACAGTTTTTGATCTTTTAAAGATTTCACAGGGAAGACATTGTTTAACTAACATAGGAGGAGGTACAGAAGCATTAAGTTTCAGCAAATTGACAAACTGCAACATTTGCACAATAATTCCGACCAGACTTGTTGGTTGATGTTTTTCTCCAGAAGTATAATTTACTTTTGAAATGTTAATGGTGTTTTAACAAAGATAATTCACCAGTGCACCACATAAGTTTTTATTCTTATCCCTATTTGTTATTCTTTAGAGCTATATATAACGTGTAATCGGGTTATAAATTCTGCTTAGAGTTGCATTGTCATTTAAGTGGCACGCTCGTCCTTTAATAACCATCTCTGCCTTTTTAAGTTGAGTTTTTTTCTTATTGTTTTTTCCAGTCATTTCATAAGTTCCAAGTCATCCCCTGGTTAGAACTACATAAGCTGATTTGTTCTGGACCAAAGCAAATATTTTTCTACTGCAGCTGTTTTATGCAATATGTGCCATATGATATCTCTGTTATTGCTTTGTTTTTCATAATTTTTGGTGCCTTTTGTATTTCATTGCTTTGTCAATTTGTTTGCTTCATGGCTTATGTTACTAGGGTAAATGAAGCCGTGAACAGTGTAATATTTCATCTAGGTCATGTATCATTTAGTATCTGGTTTATAGTAGCTTATATAATCAACACTTAGTTTGATGTAAAGAAATATGTTTTTTTTTTTTTTATATTTGTTTAATTAAAGATCACAAACTTAGATTTCAAAATAAATAATTGGCCTTTTTTGACATTATAATCAGAGTTGTTCTGTTGAACAGGTGAAAATAACATTTGGGAAAAAAAGAAACATAGAAAAGACAGTTTTCTTCTTAGTGTTTACATCCTCTAATAAGGTGTAATGCATCTGTAAAAGTAGGTATGACATATGATTCCTAAGAGCCCTTAAGTGGAGCTGTACATAAAGATTAATTAGATACTACCTTACATTAAACTATAGAAGTATTTTCTTATAACTGCAGCTTTTTATAGGTAGCTTTCTGCTGGGAAACACCCTTAGCTTTTACGTCATTGTTTAATCACAATCCTTCATTAGAGATAGGTCACATTCTTTAGTGATTATCTTCGCAGGACGATGAGCTTCATCAGACTTCGTATTAATCATTTAAGAATAATTCAAGGGGTATTAAACAGGTTGATGTAAAAATAAGTTAAAAATAAAAAAGCTCAGAAAGCAGCTTCTATGCCTCATGCCTAATTGAAAGTTCAGTTAGTGGCAGTTCTGATGCTTTCTATGCCTTCTAGATCAGTTTAAATTCCTGGGAAACAGCTGTGCACAGAGGACCCCCCACCCCACCCCCCCAGCATTGGAATTCAGTTTTTTTTTTAATTTGTTTTGTGATTGGTGGATCAATATAATCACTGTTAGTAAGAATACATCCCTGCGGCACTTTTCCTTTCCCACAAACAGCCTTAACACTCTGTTCCCTTGTCTCTGTTTACTTTACTCCCCACAATCTCTCTTCCTTTGTGTGCATCCACTCTCTTTTTTTTCTTCTTCTTTTAAGTCAAAATTGTAATAAAAAAATTACTCACTAAAAAGAAAAAAATATTTAAAAAACACCTGCCATAGAAATAATTACTAAAAATCAAAAGGCTTATGGTTAAGCACAACATAACATAGCGATGTAATACTTTTTTCCTTCACTTTCCTTATTTAGTTTAATTCCTAATGAGTTTAAAAGACTCTCTTTGTCACACTGCTTGGATAAGAGGCATCTTCCAGACAGTTTGATCTATTAGGTTTGAACAGAATGCTTCTTATGAACAGTGAGGAGACTGACACAGCTTACAGTGTTTATGCATATATACTGTCAGGCTCTGGTGAAACATAATAAATCTGAGCTGCTCAGTGTTCAGGACTTGATTGTGAATTAGCCTAGAAATGCCAAGAGCTTTTCATCTCCTCTCCTTATTGGGTCACTGAACTGAATGAGAGAATAAAAGTATGCAGTTATGTACACAGCATTTCTGATATTCTAACCATGTTACAAAAAGATGTAAAAACAAAAAAATAAAATAAATACTTGCATATCAAATAAAACAATAACCTAGAAATGAAAGCCTACAGCAAGTACTGAATGTATTGACACATTAGAAAGTCAGAAAGTATTCTGCTGCAGTATCGTCTAAACCTTAAATGTTATTTTGAAAAGTAAAAAAATAAACATTTTAAAAACTTTTTATGGAAATCAATAAAGTAGCATTCCTTAAAGCATATGTTGTGTATAGCAGGGCTAGATGAGAATGATGTAAAGCCCTAGAAATTAAACTAACAGGAATGTAGTTGCATTTGAGGCTATTGCAGTGATAAAAGTGATTTCAGAATGCCTTAATCATGATCTCATACTTTAGATCCAATCAAAAAAATATCCTAATTATTAGTGTGGATTGATAGCAATGATACAAATCTAATATAACAATATCAGTCCACAACAAATCACAAATTCCAGAAAAAAAAATGTGCTTGTAAATAAAATATCTCTGGTAGAATCATTGATATATTCAGATTAAACATCAAATACAGGATTTTCTTCTCTCAAATATGTATTTTTGCTTCCTGGCTTTATAGGTGTCTGCCCGAACTGAGGGCAGCATCAGGAAGCGAAACCAGCCTGTGCAGCGCACCTTCAGTAAACGACGTAGCCGTTTCTCCTCCCTTTGGGGTCTAGATACTGCCTCCAGACGGAAGACCAAGGGGCATCCTTCAGTTCAGCAGGTTCAAACTTCTTTACTTTATTTCTAAGTAAAACATCTTAACCAGTAATTGTAAGAATGAATATAGTTTTCAATGCTTTAAGTTGAAAGTGGTAGCCTGTTAATAAATTCCCAAGTAGATCAACTTCAGCTGTTGTGTTTAGGTGCATTTGACCTTTACTTTCTTTTTCTTTTCTTAAAGGTGTTTAATAATGGGATGGATCATGTAAGGAAACCCTTGGAGCGCATGTTTGAAGACCCTGCCAACCAGAAATCTGTAAGAACCAGCTTAATCAACCAATATTACTGTGTTAAAGATATACATGATGAACTAAATTTAACTAACTTATCCAAAGGAGTTGAACCCTGTGAAATAAACTGGCTACAGAAGTATTTAACTAATCAAAAGAATACAAATGTGTATATTGTAGTGTAAGGTCTCAGTGGTTGTTAATATTTGATATTAGTCTTGGTAGAATTACTCTAGAGCAACAATCAAGATGCACAGTTTGATGCACCTGAAAATTTTGAGGGGAGCAAGTTTAAAGATTTCTCTCTACTTCTCTTTAAAGATTTGCACGTATGAGGCCCCTGGTTAGATTAGATAGTGTAAATAAAATGCATACACACTACGGCCAGATGTAGAATATGTTTGTGCAGATAAGAGTTTCTGCTAAATGATCAAAATAGCAGGTGTTTGCCTACATGAGTACATTTGCCGATTCTTAGAAACATGCAAACTACTGAAAGACGGATATGCAAATGTGCATACCAATGTTGCAGTTTCTGTGTCTATAATTACCAGTTTTGAAAGTCATGACCGAGGTGGTGAAAGTCAGCTTTTCCTGGTTTCATTATTGATATTTAATCTTTTAAATTTGGCCTTTTTTCGCCCCTTTTAATTTTTTTACTTTTCTTTAGAACACTTTAAAGTACTTACATATAAATGTGTAATTAAAATATTTTTTGTTGTTATTTCAGTTATTTTTTCCAATTTCATAACTGTTCAATGAAAAATGGAGAAAGGTTGATGCATTTCATATAATACCCCTTGAAATTATTTACATTATTTAAAGGCAATATACAATCTGGTCAAATAATCTTAAGAGATTAAGCTACAGAATTTTAAAACATGGCAGGCGTTTGGGTCTGTCAAACATGGGTAATACTGACATTTTAGCTGAATGGCTTCTTAAACACTAGGTGCATTTAAACCCTTGGGGCTTTTAAATTAAAGAACCTAATAACTATTCAGTGCCATCCAAAGTAGGTCACAACTTATCACGGCTTCTTTGTAGTTATAGTAGCTGTATTTTAAGTGAGATGAAAAAGGCTTCATCAGTGTATGTTTACATCTATACAGTAATATTCTTTTGAAGGCTAAACACAAAGAAGCAGCTCTCTTTTTGCTTTGGGCTAATTACTTGTCATTGTTTGGCTTTCTTGTTAACCATGAGGAAGATCAGTGGGGCATCTGATGCATCTTTGTGCTTGTTTAATAGAATAGAGACCCTGAGGCCAGTGGCATAGCTGAATTTTCCACCTCCTTTGGTTTTTGTCGATTCTTTAGCTCTTTATTTCATGGATTATCTGGGGGAGGCACAAAACCCCTGCAATGCTTTGCACCAGCGAGCAAAGTTTTTTTAAAGTCATTCACGATCTCTTGCTTTAACATTTATAGGCACCCACTTCTCGACTCGATGTGGAGTAAGTGGAGAAATTTACTGGTTTATGAAAGTTTAAAATTAACACTCCCTCCCACACCCTTAGATGAATCCGGATCTTAGAAAACCTTGCAGTAGCATAAATGCGTCTTGAACTATTCAAAATTTAGTGTCATTACAACCACAACCGAATGCATTACATCGATATCTTTTGCATTAGATGATCACAAATTAGAGCAATACTGTGAAGAGAAAATTAAATGAGGCAGTCATGATGATGGAGAAAGAGGGATCCAGTGGTGGGAGAGAGAATAAGGAGATATAGGCTTTGAAAAAATGACAGTCATACAGCACAGTATGATGAGGCATTGTTCGAGGATAACAACTTAGGCTGCTCTCCACTGCTTTCCTCCAGGTTTTAGAGGTTTCTCTGCCTAAGCACAGCTGACTTCCATTGATAACTGATTAACATCCTGTTAATCAGCTATTAACAGGACTGCAATCATCAGAATGAACTCAGCCTACTAGGCTAAACCACAGTGTAGGTTTAACCACTAGGTTGAGCGCCCCTGAAAGCAACTCACAGATATCAGATATCTGCTGATAGCAGACCACTTTTTTCTGTTTTTTTATTGTCACCTAACAACAACCTTTAGCTTAGTTACTTCTTGTGTTTTAGAGGATCTCAGACTTATGAGTACAGTTTAACTGAGACCGGAGTTAAACCTTTTAGCTTAAAATGAAAAGATAAAACGTCAACAAACAAACAATAAAAAAAAGAACAGAAAAATACAAACTTTTGCATCACCTAAAACACATCATCCACACTGTGAAACATGGCAGTGCTAGCATCATACTCTGGCAGGGAAAGCACAGATCAGAGTTGAGAGTGAAGTGGAGGGACCTAAGGCAATCTTGAAAGAACTGTTAAAGGGTAGAAATGTCTACAGATTTTAGTTGATTTTTAATCTCCAACATGATGACAACCCTGAATATAGAGTCAGAGCTACAACCCATGTCAAAGATGAAATATTTTATGAATGGCCCAATCAGAGTTACGACAGGATTGAGAGTCAATTGCCAGACTTTAAATTTCAGTCTTCATCTGCACAGCGTTGACTCAGTTGTAGCAAATTATGATTCAATAAAGAATTAAACATTGAACAGGGATCATTGCAATGGATGACATCCCCATAAGATGTTTATTTGGTACAATAATTAGATAAATCATGTATTATTTTTTATCTTGTACATACAAGCATTAATTTGTTTTGGTAAATAACACAAACCAAATTAAAAAGATTTGTTTTCTTTTAAAATGGAAGCAAAGCATGACAAACAATAAAAAAAATAATTAAGAGATAGTGAATCATCCTGCAGGATGTTGAACTAGACTTTTTGAGGCTTTGTGCATCAGAAGATAATTTACCACATTAACCATTTCTCTATCCCTAACGACTATTGGTAAACAATTTGCTATTAAATTGACAGTTTTATTAGAACATTTCACCAATGACCCACATCAGTCTAGACAGATATCCATAGTTTTTTTTTTTCTAAGTTAGCTCCAGGCACTTGGCCTAATCAAAATCCCATAAACCATCCACAGGAGACATTACTGTCGGCTGATCCCACTGAGCCAAACCCACTCTGATATTTGTGGATCATTAACTCAAATTATGCAGACATTTGCTACCAAAGTGTCAGGCTGTGTTCCACCATCTGTTCTCACCTGCGTTGTTCTGTACTGACCACAATTTACTGAAAATTTGAACATCAAAACAAATACTCCAGCAAAGCAATCAACATGGAGCTCATTTCGATCTATATAATTATTTATCACAGATAAGTAAATGATGTGATTAGTGATTTCACTTGAACTAGGCAGAAGAAACGTGCAATTAGGCAGAGGTTGTGCAAGGACAAGCATGCTGGCTCCATATTTCATGAGAAGCGTTACAATAAAGACTGTGGGAGAGTAAGAGACAGGCCTCTGTGTCTGAACCCCTTAGACAGAAGAAAAACTGGGGCAATAAACCACTCTCGCTGTGAGGGCCCCCTGCGGCAGGAGGAGAGATCAATTTCCTTCCACCCACGCCCCACCTCAGCTGGCAGGGGGTGGGGGGAATGGGATGACCGTAAAGAAATACGCAAGAGATAGCATGCCTTGACATATACTGATACAAAGCAAGAAACTTCACATTACCAGCACAGATTTTTCACCTTTGACACGCAAGCCCCTAAAATGACATTTTATATATTCTGGGGAGTCTGATTGTTAACAACCAGAAGATTTTTAATGTATGCTTCTTCATCCCCCCCCCAGCAGAGGAATCTTAGATAGGCCAGGAGGGAAGCCAGATGGTGCCGAGCAGCCTGGGAGTTCAGGGAAGTTGGGGGAGGTACTGGTTACGGGCCTCCCAGCTTGTTGTCTGTCTGGAAAAAATACACTTTTTTTCCAGGTTTTATTGTTGTTTTATGTGTACTTTGGGAATAATTTAAGTATTTAAACATTTTTAACATGCACACACAAATAAAGACTAAATGGAGTTAATTTCAGCTCAGACCAAAGGGTCTGATTTTGGGTGTTGCGAGATTTTTGGCAAGAACAACACAGAAGCGAGTCGTTAGAGAGTTTCACAGACAGGGGAAAGGGCACCAGAAGGAGAGGTGCTGATCGATGGCATGGTGGGTGGAATTGAAGAATGAAAGGAAAAATGGGAATGTGGTCACTTGATAGGAGGAGATATGTTACAAACAATGTGAGGTCAAACAGAAGAGATAGAGAGACGCCGATACTCCCGTCAAATTGATCATCTGGATCAAAGTGACGGACTTAAAGATTATAGAATACAATTTTTGATCTAAACACAAACATGCAGTGTTGGGCACGTTACTTTGAAAAAGTAATTAGTTATAGTTACTAGTTACTTCTCCCAAAAAGTAACTGAGTTACTAACTGAGTTACTCCACAATAAAAGTAACTAGTTACTAGTAAAAGTAACTATTGCGTTACTTTTGCGTTTCTCGCCCCCGTAACCCTCACCACCCGGCCCCCACCTTCTCGTGGTGTGTTTCCAAAGCCAGCTGAATAGAGCGGATGACAAAGACAAGAACCTGCAGAGAGTTTTGCATTTATTGCAACTCCATGTAAATGACATCAGGGGGGAACGCGATGTGAAGTTTTTTAACAGGGCATTCAGATCTGGTGAAATTAATAACTGGGGATGTCTAATTCTGAAATCCTGTTTGTTTGGGTTGTTATAGATACTGCAACATCTATCTATCCATCTATCTATCTAGATGTATACTCTGTGTGTGACATAAAATATGGATCTCCATCCCTGCCACAAAGGCCATCAAATAATGTTTAAAATAAAAAATACAGTAGGTTGAAAAGGCAGAGTATCCATCCATCCATCCATCCATCCATCCATCCATCCATCCATCCATCCATCCATCCATCCATCCATCCATCTCCCTTTCTCCATATAGGCTATCATTTCTGGCTGTTGTCAGGTTAATCATTTGATCGTTCACGCTCTCCATAGTTCTCCTGTGGCGCGAGCACAGGGCGACTGTTGCGCGCCTTTAGCGAGCATGCGCGTTTCCTGTCGCTTGCGCGGTGAATCGTGCCGCCTGCGCTGTGCGGAGATGCAGGGGAAACGGTATCTGATGGGGAAACGCAGCTCGACGTAACACCTGTATTTCCATCGGGAAAACGCTGTTTTGCTGCTGGATCCTCCTCACTCTCCATCTCTCTGTGTGTGCTGTACGTTAACACCCGCCAGGAGAAACACCCACCTACCCAACTGACAGACGGAATCTCACTATACATCAGCCATCCTCCCCTCTCTCATGACAAGGCGCGCACCTCTGGATGACCTAAAAAAATAATCTTTAATATCTCTTAAACAAAAGTAGCACAAACAATATTTTTTTCTGCACAAATCTGCACTAACGTTGCACTAACCATTCAGTCTATTTGCAGAGTTTTTTGACGTGGGGTGTCAGCTTCACGCAGCTGCGCACGAGTCCTATCATGAAAAAAGGTTCATTGTGCGACCTGAGTAACGCGCAGTAACGGGGTGTCTGCAATGGTAACTGCGTTATAGTTACAGTCAAAGTAATTAGTTAGATTACTCGTTACTAAAACAAAGTAACGGCGTTAGTAACGCTGTTACTTTCAACGCCGTTAGTCCCATCACTGCAAACATGTACGTGCAAATGTAAATGCATATAGACACACAAGACATAAAACAGTTTATAGATCTGATGCAAAGTTAAAAATACCTCAAAAAGACATAAATCCAATTTGATAAAGATTACCGACATGCACACCTTATCACTTATAAATCCTTCGTTTTTTTGTTTATCTTATGAATAAAATGTAACTTTTTTGTTTCTCCTTAGTTGGTGATCATCATGCACATAATTTTTTACCCTAACCCTTATATTTTGTCAGGTTTTGTTTGACGTAATTTCTGATTACTAAGTTAAACAGCATCTAAATGTTGAATTCCACAGAATAAAACAGGAGACTCCATGACATCTGTTCGTCAGCAAAGCGTTGACAGTGATATTTGGATTTCTGACTACCTAAAGCCATCCTGGGTGTGTCTGCCAAACAATAAGCCAGTCCTGGCGATCGTGCAGCCTGGAGAGATGACACTGGATGTCCTGAGCAGCGTCTGTAAGGTAGGCCATAGTTGGAACTATCAAGAAACACTCAAGCCAGCATTGATTGTCTTTTGCTACTTTTACGTATATTCACACATATTCTACAGTGAGGGTAACTTTCGGATGACTTAACATTCTTTAATGACATCTTGTGGTGCATGTTAGAGAGAAAACACATAACAATCAACATTTTGAAGCAATATTTCCTTGTCTTGTTTTTTTCAGACCCATCAGATTGAGCCTTCTGGTCATTATCTACGTGTGAAGATCTGGGTCGACAACCAGATGCTTTATTATGTTCCCAGATCTGAAGAGGAGATCTCTGATTTGGTAGGAGAACATTTTGGATGGTATAAGCACTTAATCAATCCACAGATTTTTAGATTGCACCTTTTTAGTATTGTGCTCTTTAGAATCAGGAACAAATCCAATCCTAAACAAATCGATAAGCAGATAAAAACAATGAATATGCGCAACGAGGCATAATATAAAATTTTTGTTTTACCACAAAGCTTATGGAGTGTTTAAAGGTTGAACAAGCATGGAATGGCCTTCTTTGTAATCTGATATTGTCATATTCATGGAAAAATAAGTAAATACAAAAAAACTCACTAAGTAATTTCCACAGTTGAGGTGCATAACAGTAAATAGAAGCTTCGTTTCATGTTTCAGTTTTGGTTTTTAAATACTTTACAAAATAAAATTCTACAGTTATCACTAGATTTAGATATCATTCTTTGATCATACTCTGAGATGAGGCACAGTTCCCAACCTGAACTTTACCTTTATATCCATATAAATTAATTTGAGCTATTTTTACAAAAATGGAGGCAAACCTTTGCATATTTTATGCCCCCATTGCTCAGTCTATGTGCATTGCATGCACAATTCCCACGACAGAATAGAGACATTTTTGCAATACCTTGTAAATTATGCAAAAAATTGTATCCAAAGTGTATTGTGTAGACTATGAATGAAACCCATCTGTATTTGTGTGTGTCTCTCTGGTTAGAGTTTTTTTTGTTATTTATATTCACTCTCCCACTTGCTGGAAACAGCTTCATCTCATTATTCAGCCACAGTAAACCCCTGAAATGAATTCTCTTTGTGACAATTCTTTGCAGGTGACATGCTGAACCCTCTCTCAAAGCGCAGTCTGTACATAACTAGGTTTTTTCCTCAAGAGTCTTTTTATCTTCCTGCTTTGATCAGTGACTCACTTCGCCCTCTTTCATCCTCTGCCGGTGATATTACGTTGTTATTTCTCCTCAGTAAAGGCTATTACACACAACGCAGCTGTCTGTCCTCGGTGTTGCTCCATACACACAGCTGGGTCTGTGCTGGGAGGTCAAAACCCCTTTCTTACACCCACTCACTTTATAGTCTTAACCCAGATTGTGACCCTACAACCCTCCCATGCACTTGCTCTGCAGAATAATGCATGGAGCAGTTCATTTTTTATTAAAAGTAATAGCCTGACCTTATCCAATCCTGCAGCAATTCCACTCTTCCATTTTCTCCAATTAAATATGCATTTATATGTATGTGTTGGCAGATCTACAAAGAGATTGAGATTTGCCCCAGAGTTACCAAGGTGATCCGTTTTGACAAAGCAGAGTCCAGCACCATCGGCTACGGTATGGAATTTGATACACTAATGGTCCGGATCAAATGGATTGCTTCATGGGCTTTATTGAGTCCGCTCTGATAATTATTGAAACAGGGGGGCTCAGAAAAAGTGCATGCAATCATAAGTGGAGCTAATTGGTTCAGATTTATTGCGCAGCAATGATTACCTTTAAATATAGATTCATGGTTGACAAGCAGACTCTTAATGAACTTCTACAGGTTTCACGGTGGCTGTTACTGATGAGGATGCTGTACAGCGGCTTTATATCTCCGAAGTCAAACCAGGGGGACTGGCTTCAGCCAAAGGTGAATATATTTTTGGGTTGCATTTTCAACCAGTCCTTCAGAACGCAATGTCTTATATTTGATGTCTGATAATCAGAAACTGAATAAAGGAACTGATGAAACAAAGATTTGCTCTGGAACTCATATTACATCATTTGCGTTGAGAGAGGTCAATGTTTGTTCAGCTGATGACATTTTTTGAAAGGAGATCGTGCAGTTTTTACATCAAAATGTAATTTCCAGACAGAGATTTCACTGATCAAGGAGCTGCATATTACATGCATTTGGGAAGTGTATTCATAATGTCCTTTTTGAAGACGAATATCTAAGCTTTAGGATCCAGCATGGATGTAACCCAGCTAATCATTTTTATAAACTGTCCTTAAGCATGTGCTAGCTTCTACACATGCTTCTCTGTAGTCCTCAGCTGGTTTGTGACAGCGGATTCCTAGCAGGAATCTGTAATGGATGTTTTAGTGGATGTTATGTCATAATGTGTTGGTTACTTGGCATGATTTTCTATTACAATGCACTAAAATTCATTAAGTTTGAAGTTTGCTATTTGGAAAGACTGATCGCTTATCTCAGGATTAGCTTTTTTATATAATTCTGAAACTGATCTGAATTTGTGTATGGGCAAATTTTATCCTTTTAAAAATTCCCTACAGTGTTCACCTAATTTGAACTGAAATTGGATAATTTGGAGGTAGCGCTTCTTACCTACAAAAAAAAGTACAGCATTACTGGAAGTATTGGAAAAGAAAGCCTTATTATGATGTTTCCACCAATGATTAAGACAGATGGTGCAGTGGCTGCCTTGATTCTTCCACACATACTTTTTGTAATTTTTTTAGGCTGCTCAATCTATCAGAGCAAAGTTATTACAGTATTAATTTGTACAATAACACAAATGCCAAAGACTGCTTATATTTAGTACTTGGAGGTCTGTAGAATAGCAGGTGCCATAAAATGCCATAAAAAATAGCTTCAGGGGAATTTCAACTGTATTTAGCTGTGCTCATAACTCACATAGATCTTAGAGCTACGTCAGAGCACCAGGAGAATAGTGAAACTGTGATTGTATAAAAAAAGAGCTGATAGTAAACATCACTTAGACTACAAAATAAACAATTGGTCTCCTAGAATAATGCAGCCCTACATTACAGTCTAAATATGCTATGAAATACACATACCGTAATGTAGGTATGTGCATAATAGGAATATGTGTAATATCGCCAATGCAACACACAGTATTTCCTGGATGCAATATTTAGGAAGCTAACAGGCTTAAGTGCAGTTCCCTTGATGGCAATTCCTAACATATATTATAGTGACTTAGTTGTAAGCCTCATAGAGAAAGATGGACGTGCAGTGTGGCTTGGAAAAATGAGACTATAAAGATTAGTACAAAAGTAAAATACAACCTAAGGATGGAAAACAATATTTAATTATTACAGGGTTTTCTAACATTGCAACCTTTTTTTTTTTTTTTTTTTTTTTACAACACCGTCTTAATTATTATAAATGTCTTATTCCCCTTTAAAAAGATAACTTTTCTCAATAGGATTTTTTTTTTTTTTTTGCTAAAATGGATAAATCAGTTTTAAAAGATAATAAGATGAAGAAGTAATGAAGAATCCTAAAAGCAAGCTTCAGTATTTCTAGACATATTTCATGAGTGATGAAATCAATAAAGATTAATAAAAGAACAGCATCTGTGCACGCATCAGAAATTCTAAAAAGACATGACTGATGTGCCCTAGATTTGGTATTTGCCTGATGATTTATAGCTTTTTCCTTAAGGCAGGATGTGCCTAAACCTTTATCCATGAGATAAAAAGATTCATGATGCTTTCTCCCTTCCTCTTCTTTGGAAAGGTGGGTCTCAGGAGTGCACCCCCCACTCCCTGGTCCCTATCTTCTACGTGAGGCAGAGAGACCTAATGGGTTTGAGAAACATGCAGCTGTTTTGTGGACACAGCACTAATGTATAGAAAGTAGCTCTACTGCAGAGCCCTGAGGTCGAAGCAAGGTTACTCAAGTGTGAGATTGTGGCCTCCAGTGTATTAGCAATAAAAAAGCTGCCATCTTAGCAGGCTGCATGCAACCAGAGGACACAGCTGTACTCACTATCTACCACGGTGGGGAGGGGAAAAGGTTGTCAATCAGTGAGCTTAGTGGATATTTGTGCAATATTACACTGCAAGGGAACCAAAGGGTTCGGTTTGTTTTTTAATGCTTGTCCTTCTTTTGTCAAATAATCACCCATGGAAAACTGCAACATATTCATAACTAACTTTAGTAGGATTCATCCCATTGCAGTGGGTTTCGATTTAATAAAAATAAAACTCAAAGTGGAGCAAACATATTAATCCATCACTTTTTATCTAATACATTTAATATATATTACATTTAATATATATATATATATATATATATATATATATATATATATATATATATATATATATATATATATATATATATATATATATATATTTAATATATATATATATATATATATATATATATATATATATATATATATATATATATATATATATATATATATATATATATATATATATATATATATATATATATATATATATATATATATTTAATATATATATATATATATATATATATATATATATATATATATATATATATATATATATATATATATATATATATATATATATATATATATATATATATATATATATATATTTAATATATATATATATATATATATATATATACTCAAAGTGGAGCAAACATATTAATCCATCACTACATTTAATATCTATATATATATATATATATATATATATATATATATATATATATATATATATATATATATTATATATGTAGAAATGGTGCAGTTGGATCACATTAATTTGTAGTCCTGCTAGTGTGAATTGTTCCTTCTTAGTGTAAACGTGATTATCACAATACTGTCTGAGATGCTGGGTAACTCAGAATCACCCCATTGCTCAATACAAGCATGAAATAGAACCTGATCGGTTCCTGTCTATGAGATCTTTTCTCAGTTGCTTATCTGGTCTTTCAGCAATGTTATAATGTTTTTAGGTATACATTTATAATTTTTATTCAAGCTTTATTGTTCTAAAATATAATTTTCATGTTTATACAACATATCATTGGATTAGTGATATGTCTCTGCTTCTTTTTCTATGTCTGCTTCTGTCTCCTTGAGTACCAGTCGGCCTCGGTAGATGGCCGCTCACACTGAGTCTGGTTCTGCTGGAGGTTTCTTCCTGTTAAAAGGGAGTTTTTCTTCTCCACTGTCGCTACAAGCGTGCTTGATGTGAGGGATAGCTTTCGAGTAAATGAGTCGATGCAATCAGCTGGTTTTCCTTACATGGAAATCTTTGAAATCAAATTGACTGCATGATCTGTTACAACTGTAAAGCACCTTAAGATAATATGTTTTGTGAAAGAGTGCTATATAATAAATATAATAATAATATAATAAACTAAATTGAATTGAATTGAGTTAGTCTAATGTGATGTTTATATTGTCAAACAATATAGAGAAAGTATAATTTTAGAAAAATAAATTTAGTTCCAGGCATTCAACATTTCTGCATGATTTAACGTGTTTGGGATTTGTGTTAATTATGATGAATGAACCCATTAACTAACAAATATCTGTTCTGTCAACTGGATATGAATCCATTTGTGTAACTCAATTCAGCGTTAAGGGACAGGTAAGGTTGCTGTCAGACCACAGAACAGCTGTCACAACCAATCAGGTGGTGAGGCAGGCTGTTTGCGCCCTGATTCCTGTTTAACACCGCCAGGTGCAGTTGGTGAGAGAGAGGAGAAAGCATCAAACTGAAGATGCGTTCCAATGAAGTCAATAGATTCGCTTTCGTGCATACTGCCACACAGGCAACATATATAACAACATAAGAGGACAGAAATAGACATGTGCTGCACACTCCCCTCTAGATCCATCCAGTCTTGTTAGATCACTATTTGCCGCAAGCAAGAAAGGAAGCACGCAGCTTGGGAGGATACATTTTTAATGTATTGGAGCACATTAGAGTCCCAACATGCCTGATTGGTCTAAGAGCTGCTGTTAGGAAGTATGGTTGTGGGGCTCATTTGTACCCATTAACAAACAAAGACCACCCTTAGCTGATCATGATATTGTGGATAAGCCTAGCACCTTTCTTGAATTGTTTTCACCTTAAAAATAATTTTTTTTATTTTTATGAATTATTACTTTAATATTTGTTTTCCCTTTTACTGATTCATTAGGTTTGAAAGCAGGAGATGAGATTCAATACCTCAATGGTAAACCTGCCTCTGCCCTTCAGCTGGATGATTTGAGGGCAGCGTTTGGAGACCACATGCTTACTCTGTGTGTCAGCACCCTGCCCCAGTTGGACCCTAAAGTGCTGTGCTCCTGTCCGCCTCATCGCTCCGAAGGAGAACAAGACCCAACCACAGATATTTTTTCTCAGAGTCAAGGTTAGACTTCATCTTGTTTTTGTTGCGCTTCAGAATGAATGCAGCCCCATGTAACCCCCTAACTCTGTATACACAGTTGGAAAGTGCATCACTGTCTGTAGGGTCTGCTATTTATGCATGGATGCCTTTGGATACCTAACCTGTAGGCAGCCTGCAGCCTTCTCCTGACCTGCTCCTTTTATTTGTGCAAGGGCACAATTTGTATTCATCTGAAATAGAGGGCTTGTAATGCTCAAGTTGACAAGCTTGCATTGTTTATACAGGGGCTCAGAGCTGTATGAATATTAATATAAATCCTTCAGCGGTGCAGAGCTGTCATCATAGAGGATGCACCATATGTTGAGGGTCATACGGGGAGTAAAACGTTTTTGAAGCCAGATGGAGGTCACTGATGATGCCGTGCTTGAACAGGAGGCTGAACATGAAATCGTCAAAATGAAGGAGACTTTAAATGACAGATTAGTCCTTAACATGGACTGAATAATGAATCGGACTATAAAACTACATTATTAGATCCACTCATGGAGGCTTTTAAGGACCTTGAGATCAAAAGACAGTGCTTTGTAAAAGTATTTATAAACCTTTGAGTTTTTATATATCATGTTAGCATAAAATGTAACCTTCCATTTTATTGGAAGATTATATGATAGACCAAAGGAAAGTAGTGTGGAAAAAATAAAGAGGGAAAAAAAAAACATTTGATACATAAAAATTTTTTTCTTTTTTCTCTGCCATCCTCAGATAAAGTCTTGTGCCATCAAAAGCCTTCAGAAATCAACTTATAAGTAAAAAAATGATAAGCATAAAAAATAAATAAATAATGAAAGGGCATCAGAACTTTAAGCATTAAGACATGGCTGTTTTATGTTTGCTTTTACTTAAAAGTCGAGGCAAGGAGAACATCACAGTAGGAGCTGAGCAGAAGCGTAGTCGCTTTGGAACTGATGCAGACGAACCTCATGACATGGCAGATATCAGAGCTGCTTTCCTTAAAGCATTCTTTTTCAAGAAAGTCCAGTTTAGGAGCAAGAGGGAACCTGGTTAGAGTTTTTCATGGATGGGTTGAGCTAAAAAAGAGGAAAACGGTTAAAATGCAAGCAATGCTTTAGAAATATATTTTTGACAAAAAGATACTTGCTCCAACATGTCTTTACTGACTTTGCAGAGAACATCCTGGACGAGGTGTCAGGTTTGACAGTGGATAGCCTTGATGAGAGTTTGGATGAAGGACCTCTATTAACCCCGCAGAGCCCCAGAGATCATCATGAAGACAAAACATTAATGGCCGCTGGACAGAAGGTAGGAAATGGCATTTAGAGGCATTAAGAGCAGACAAAAGCATGCATAAAATCTATGCAGATTAAACAATATAAAAGGATATCTTATAACCCCCTGTCAAATGTATTGTTATACATTAGCTTTTTTTTGTTCCTCTTGAAGTTTTGCATTCTCATAATTGAACTTCAGGATCTAACGTAAGTGTTTTGCACTATATGAATTATAGTTTATAAAAGTTTCTGCTCTCAATTGCTGGCCTTATTCAGTTGTTGGAAATTGGGAAAATAAATGAAAAAGCTGATAATTACAACTAAAAAAAGAACAGAGTATTTTAATATACATTTAAACTGCCATTTGTTGTTCATGACCAAGGTAAATTTGACAACATGTGCATGTGGGAGATTTTGAGAAGTGGGTTTTACCATAAAAAAAGAAACAAATAAAATACCAAAGAGGCTGTGTTTTCATTGACATTGGTATGTCTGTTGTTTGCCATTTATGGATGGATTTTGCTGAAATTTTCAGAGAAGGTGCAACAAATTATTTTATTTTGGTTTTGATCCAGATCACTATATTGAAAAACTGCAATGACTAACACAGGCTAGCAATAAAGTTGATGTAAGGTTTTCTAAAATAATAATAATAATTAAAAAAAATATAGCACAAAAAAACTCTTGGCTCTATAAGAAAGTCAAATGTCATTGCTAACTCAAACAACCATCATATGCATCATCATTTCTTTTTCTTATCTTTGTTAATCACTCCACTACATCTCATGTTTGTTTTTGCTTCAAAGTGCTTTCAAGTGCTTCAAAAATATTTCGTCATGTGAACCTGTCAGTGATTGTATGAGCAGGTGTTTATCTGGTATGATATCGGTGCGTGTGTGTTACCTGGAAAGACAGGTGAAAAAGAAGTGAGACAGCAGCATCACTTTCTAATTAACAGTGTGTCTGCTCCGATTAACGTCTGTGATGTGATGTCTGGAAGAGGATGTGTGCCAGCCAGTCTCCCTTGGATACGGTTGTCACTTCCTTTACCACAGCCGAGCCTGATATTCTGAAAGAGGAGCATTTTCTCTTTGTATTTGATGTTAAATCTTGATAGATGGGGAAGGAACAGCAGATATAGTGCTGGGCTCGATCCCAGATCTGTGTCAGTGAGCTTCAGTCATTTGAGGTCAGCGCCAGCCTCATTGCGGTCTAGGTTCTGTTGGATAGAAGTAGTTCTGTGACTCCGATGTGCCATTTCAGATTTAAAGCAAAGGAATAAATATTGTAATTTGGGACACTAGGCTGGTTATGTTTCATTTGTAGTTGATGTGAGGGAATGTTCTTAAACTTAAACTGGGTCAACATTTGAGCAAAGCTTCTGATTATAGCTGTACACCTTTGCATGTTTTAATTTTCACACTTTCCCTTTATACTGCTGTGTTTTACGTACACTGATTAAAATAGTAACATCCATTAAAACCTAAAAAAATTGACCTTTGCTTTTTAATAGTTACCATATTTTCTGGAGTATAAAAGCCGCTACTTTTTTCCCTACGATTTGAACCATGCCTGCAAAAAGGTGCGGCTTTTCTGTTGATTTTTCCTAACCGCCAGAGGGGGAAGTCAAAGTTGGAAATGATGAATAAGGGGCTAATTTTCATTTAACACAATAACATGCTAACAGCAGGCACGACAGAGAAAAAATGTTCCAAATTCACACATTTTTACATTTATTGGCCGCATTAAAGCTGGGGAACCGATTAAGAGACTGGGTTGAACACCTACAGAGCTGAAATAAAGAGCTGATGAAGTCATTGATCTCTATTTATTCACATAATTGTTGGTAGGCCGAAAAATTTTAAAGTATATCGAAGGATACAAAAGACCCAACCTCATTTTAAAAAACAAAATGCACATGCACAACCCTGTACCCCTTCCCTAGAGGGAACACCTTTAAACAGAGAGCATGCACAAGCCCATTTCTACATGTGCAAACTCTGTAATGTAATGCAATTACCATAATCAATACATGTATATTACATGTACATACTCGATTTAGCACTTTTGGCACATCATCAGATAGTGGGCGTGGGTGAGTTTGTGTGCATGGTTAATATTCTTAATATCTGACTATAGTATAATTATCCTCCATTTTGTTGTGAAGGATTGGGAAGATGTTATATTACATTATTTATAGACTTCATGGACTACTACTAACTATGCAATGTGATGTGTCTATATTTCACCATACAGTAATCTACTGATGCTGTGAAACAGCAAGTGTGTGTTAAAGTGATTAATCTATCTTTATTATAAAAGTCTTAACCCCCCCTAAAAATGAGAAAATTATTGTTCGATTCTGTATCACATGTATTGTTTATATTCCGACCGGTCTAACTAGTCCAATACCAATATGGCAGGGAGCTAGTTTTCTTCTTCGTTATATGTAGAACTCCCCCTACAGGTTTGGTGGGAGATAGTTCAGTAAATATCAGTGGTTTATAGCCCGGTGCTGCTTATATATGTACGTTTTGAGCCTTTTCAAATAATTTATAGTGAAGTGTGCTCTATAATTCAGAAAATATGGTATATGCTTTTTTCCTATATAATAAATGTCAGGCTCACGTATAGATGTATTATTACAGACGTCACATTTTCTTTAACAGTTTTAACAAATTATAGTTAATTTATGCATCAATTTCTTAACCTTTCAATTCTTGCCATCAAACTTGAGTACACGTTCACTATTGTGCATGACAAATGGAGAAAATTCTTTAGATGTGTAAAAGCTGGTAAAGGCTTCAGCTTTGTTTGCAGTGTAAGGTGGGTGTGTGGGGGGTTGGGAAATACTCAGAATGAAGAGAAATTAATTATGCTACAGTGTAATGGGGGATTAGGCAAACATGTTTAATATTACATATATCCAAGTCAAATACACTGAACATTATGAATATGATGTGGGAAACTATATGTAATGTTGTAGTATTTTTCTGGGAACTGTGCTCTTCATAGAGCTGAATATTTAAAGCCTGTTGCACTGTAAATAACCACAAATGATTTTTGTAGGCTAATATGAAGTGCTTATATATTGTTTTTTTTTATTGTTTTGGTTTTTATTATGAAGTAATGCATCTCACCCAGAAAACAAAGACATATTTCTAGTTCCTGTCCAATCAGTGTTTTATTACAAAGGCCTGGCAGTCTGTGATCTCCGTCTCACCTTCCTGTCTCTCACCTCCTGCTTCAGTCTCACATGTCTGATCAGTGTTCTCATTTCCATCTGTTGCCTTTTTTAGACCCACATTTTTGTTTTGCATTTCCTCTGCATGTAGCTGTTTGATTTACTGCCCTAGTTTTTTTCTTCCATAATTGAACACAATATGACCATGTCCCGTCTCAGACATGATGCCATTTTTTTCCTTCCTCCCTCTGATCAGCTAATCTTAAATGTGATGTCCTTTGTTTTGGATGCTTTTTCTTTCCTCTATGTCCTTCTATTTTTTCCTGATCTTGGGTTCCCTGCCCCACTAACCCCCCTGCCGTTCATTATCATAAACAATGTGAGTCTGCTCCTGGCGTTCAGACAGAACTTGCTCTCTTTAAGCTGTCCAGCCGGCTGTGAGGCTTGACCTTACCCTCAGCACTTGGATGCTTTTATTAATGGGATTCACATTTGTCACACAGATATCCTGCAGACAGCCAAACCCATGGACTTTCATCATGTAATTTTTATAGTCCTTTTTTTTAGCCTCATGATGATTTCTCCTTTGTTTTGCTGTCTCTTTGAAAGAGCTGGGAAGTGCTGAGGATTGAGTCTTGCCTCATTTCAATCAATGCCTGCGGTCACATAGTGGCAGATGACTGAAGGAAAGAAAAAATAGACAAAGTGGGACAATTTTAATTATCCTCACACTCTAATTACTTCACTCCGGTGTTTCACATCATTTAGTAGAGATAAATGAGTGTCTGCTTAGCCAGAGGAAATGGAAATTTTCATTATTCTAGACAAAGCACACAACCACCTCCCCTGTATGGTAAACCAACTACGGAAAAAAAGGATTGCAATGATAATAAAAATATGTGTGATTTATTGGGGGTCTCCATGCTGTTGACAGCCTTAATGCTGTTTGCCAGTGATCATTTTTAAAATCATAGCTGTGAATGTGGGTGCATGAAATAAAAAATATAATGATCATCAGGAGCCAGTTGTCATCAATGTTACTAATACGGTTGAAATATAATATATAATTCAACCAAATATATATAATTTATTGTATGTTTTAAGCTCTTGAACTATCCCTGGTTTGATGAGTGTGGCTTACAGACAAAAAACCCCCCAGAGTTCAAGCTTTTAGAAAACGAAACACTAACTATAGTTGGCTGGAGGAAATGATACGGTCTGTCAGGGATCCCCTGGACAGAAACACCTTCTAGTCAACAGGTTAACTATGTAGTCTACTCAACTTTATAGTATTTTATAATCAAATTTTAGACCATTTGTCTGACATCTTGACAAACTCTGTTTGAGTTATTAACAGGAGCCTCCTCCTAAATACAATAGAAAGTTTAAAAATCAAATCAAACTTTTGAAATGTCCAGTCAGAGTGAAATGACTTTAATGTTTTTACTATATTTTAATAATTTTACTTTATTTTAATATGTTTTGTCTCAGTAAACTGACACTAACTGACGGGAAAAGGTGTTGGATCATGTTTCTTTCCTTATCTGTGTCGGAAGTCATGTAAACTTCTTTTTCCCCTGATTGTGACAAACTTTTATCCAGAAGTCTTACACATCTTTTTAATCAGGAAAACAAGACATTATAAGCTATTATCAAGAATATTGTTATACATCTATATTCTGTTCTATTCTGTTCTGTTTTTTCCTATTCTATTCTATTCTATTCTATTCTATTCTATTCTATTCTATTCTATTCTATTCTATTCTATTGATTCAGGCTGAAAGGTTGCTGTAATTCCATTATGCCCAGCAGATGGTGCAATAAGATCATTATTCTAGCCTAAGAGA